CCCGGCGCCGGGGCCCGGCACTGGGGCCCGACAATTAAAACTCGCTTTTAAGAATAATGTAGAATAATGTTTACCTTTTAATATTGAATGTGATTTAGTTATATTATATTGTATTTCTGTATAATTCGAATTTTATTGCCGAATCGATGCGCCGGGGTCCGGCGCCGGGGCCCGGCGCCGGGGCCCGGCACCGGGTCCCGGCAATGAAAATCAATCATTTAATAATTTGCGTGTAATTATATAAGCAAGATTTCTTTTGAGAAGCAATCGAACCAACAGTAGCAATAGTATACGTCTAGAATATACGGCCGAAGCCCGGCACTTTTGAAGAATGCAAACCTTTTTGTAGCAACGCAGACTGGTTATGTGACTAGATATAAGACATCGTCTCAGGCTTTGGCGCCGCGGCGACACATCAAGGCAGCCTGAGTTTCATATGGTTGTTTTCTTAAAGGCTAGGCTAGATGGGATTACGAGGTTTAAAAATGGAGGATTAAAGCGGCTGAGCGCGCGCCGCATAGTAGATGAAAGGGGGCCCTACCATATAGCTAATTTCCATCTTCGAAGAATTGTGGCTGGTTGCCTGTTTGTAGTATGGTTGTTTACGTGTCAACTCGATTTATATAAGGTTCAAACTAAGGATAGTGCAGGTTCCTACACGTGGGTTATTTACGCATCGACCCAGCTAGTTTTGAAAACCTAGGGCGGCTGAGCGTGCGCCGCGTAATGGGGAGTATAAGGGGTTGTGACTTGAGCAACAGTACTATCCTTGAAACCTGCCCGATAAATGGCCGAGATCTGCAGCAAGTCTTCTAATGCACAGACACATTGACACACCAAACTTCAGCGCCACTGGCGTCACAACTGAAGTCTGACCCCAACCTTGGACCCTCATGCAGGCACTCTCACAACGTAAGAACCAAGCAGGATTCGATGGTTTTGCACTGTTTCAGGTGCGGCCCTTGCGACGGCGAAGCCTTCCTTCAGCAGTGGTCGGTGACTTACAAAGTCCAGGAGCATTGAGCGATGTTGTTCCCCTTCCCTGCCATAGCTTAACTTGGCTCCCTCTGCATTAGAGTGACCATGCCAAATACTGGGGCAAAGGGTTTGATTTACAAATTCATGTTGGTCCGTGGTTTGGCTCAGTCCTATCAATCCCTACATTATGTTCTAGGGCTTCGGGTTTGTGACATCGACTTGAGGGTCGACGGCCCCAATTTAGGTTGCGGCTGGGCTGGGGTTGTGGAGCCTTAAGTTCGTGCGTGAATGTTACAGCTCATTGATTCCCACTGCCATGCGTGAGCTCAAGTCTGGAGTTTGTGTGTCAATGGCTTGCCTAGATAACGACAGGCTTCAGTGACAGGACTGTAACTGTGGGTTACACTGCCTCCCCGCACATGTAAGAGTAATGGGCGACAATGCTCAGCCAGAGCCGGGTGCGCCAGCAATGGCAAGCAAGCTGATTTCTGTTTTGGAGGCGCCGGTGATAGCAAGCGTCCCAAGCTCCGACCGTGCCAGACTGGATGACTTGCGGAACCATTTGGATTCTTGTGAGCTGGGGTTTCAGAAGTGCGCGCATTGTCACTTTGCAGCAGGCCTGGGCTGTCCAAGCTCAGAACAGGTATCGCTAGTTGTATTACAGTTGGGAGCCGATTCCTTGGGTCTTAGGATGTCTTAGGCCATCGTAATTTCCCTTTGAAATACGAAACATCCAGAAGCGTTAAGATACAATTAGTGGTTCCCATTTCCTAAGAAGGCTACCTTGGTCGGCTACGCAAAGGTTCAACATCCTTACACGCTGAGAGCCGCGTGCACAGTTGGAAGTCCAGATGTACTTTCCAGAAAAATGGTTCGATCTTTACTTGGTTGGTGCCGCTGAAGTCACCACAATTTAAGATCGGGTGCTACGTGTGCCATGTGCAGAATGCCAACAATGCTTGGGCCAACTTCCAGGTGAACATGAAGGGATCAAGCAGCATGAGCGTCAAGAACATCACTCAGCATGCAAGTGGTAAGAAGCACGCAGCCTGTTTGAAGGCCATTCTGGACGGACCAACTGAGGTGCCCGCAGAGGCTGTGGAGACATCATTGGCCGAAGATGGCGGTGTTGTTTCTACTATTGCTGCGGACGTTCCCCGGATGGACCGTTGGATTGCTGCCCTGGACCTGCTTTGCTCACGTGTTGGCTACCAGCAGCAGCGCGGCAGAGTGCAATCTTCGGAAGTTGGCACTAAGCTCACTCCTGGCGGCGCAGCAGACGGCAGCAAAACTGTCACTCGCAAGATGATCCTTTGCATGGCGGAGGTCCTCAGCGAAGTTGACAGAGCTCGAATCGAGCAGTGCAACGCTGTTGGCATAGCCGTGGACAAAGGCGGTGATCATCTGGTTGCCTATGCGCGCGTCCTTGGAAAGACTGGCGTTTATGAGATGCTACTTGGAGTTGTGAAACAAGACTTGTTGAAGGACAACAGCAGGGGTACCCTGGAGGCATTGGAATTGCTATTCAAACAAATCTGCACCAAACCCGCCCGTTGCAAGCGAAATGAGAACAACATGTTCGGCAGTGACGAGGACAGGTTGGACAATGTGCTTTTCAAGCGGTTGTGTGAAAGTGTTTTCACTGCCATTGCTGATGGAGGTCCCAATGAGCAGAGGTGCCTGTATGAAGCCTCTCCTTCTGGATCTGATTTGCGGCAACAGCCGGACTATGAGCCTTTACTACCAAATCTTCGTTTAATTGTTCGGGACGCGGCCCATAGATACAGGTCGATCGACAAGCTGGTCGTCTCGAAGCTGCCTAGCCTGTTCAAAGAGACGCTGGAAAGTTTGGTCAATGGAGAAAGAAGCATCTCACGATTACTAGAAAAGTCGCCGAAGTTTTCTCAGTTGTTCCTGGAGTGTCAAAAAGACATGGCTGAGACGGAAGATGGACCATCATTCAGCAGGTTCTTGAAAAGCTTTTCTTTTGCTGATCACCGCTTCGACAGCCGCAAACGACCGCTGCTGCGGCTATTTAATCTTCTGCCTGTGGTGATACAGTGCCTTCAGAGGGTCACTGAGGCTGGCAGCTCATTCCAGGACTCTGACGTCAAGTGGTGCCGAGATTTGTTGGAGCAATGGGGAGGCGACAAAGGTTACATTCGCCTTGTGGGCTCAGCGCTCATTGCTGACGCTCTGGTGATGAGCTGGCCCTTTCTACGATTGACGGACAAAAGCGAAGCGGATTACGCGCTTACTGGGACCCAGGCGGCGGAATGCTTGTCTTTGCTACGGTCGATGCTTCTAGACGGAGCTATTTGGCTGCCTGCAGCCCGTGGTACACTTGTACATAGCACGTTGCGTGCCATACAGGATCGGGTACTTTTCACAGATCAGGGCACTGATCGAAGCGCCGTGGTGATATTACGATGGCCGGCTCCGGAAACAGAAGCACGCCTTGAGCCACAGCGGCTGGCGCAGAAGAGTCTCCACTAACAGTGATCAGGTTGTTGTGGCTTAGTGTTAGGGCTTGGTGGGGTCTAGGGTTTTTAGGTTGGGGTTCAACTTTGATTTTTTGGTCTGTGGGGGTTGGTCGCAAGAATTACGGTAGTGTGTGAAAGTATGCATGAGACCAGATCAGGTTCTACGGCGTTTGGGAGGCTTTCTTCAAGTCTCATTTTCCTGGGTTCGAGGAGCAGCGTTGGAAATTGTTTGCTTGTGGGCGTTTCAAATTAGGGTTAGGGTATTGGGGCTTCAATTAAGCCATTTTCTGCATCATCTTGGAAGGAGTCCAACGGCTTTACATGCTTTAATCTGACAGCCGACCTCGCCCTACATGAGCGTGAGACTTTCCTGAGAAGCGTGTGCAAGACATTTCAGCTGAATGGTCAGAAGGCATGGAGGTCATTTGTGGGTGGGGGTGCGGGGCATGGTCTCCTGCAACGCGCGCAGTATTGGTCATCGCCAGCGGGTGTGGCGGCTGCGTCTGTTGCTGACAAGGATCCCGCCTGTCACTCCCCAGAGTCTCCCCACCAACGAGCTTGGCTTCGCACATATATGGATTTGCTGGACAATGAAAGACATTGGCTAATGTTGGTACAAACTTTTGCATACTAACGGCAAGTAAGCTTATGTTTGGTTTCAGTTACATGTGATCTTCGGTTGTTATGCAAGAATCACAAGACCACCCCAGGAAAACGAGGTGCCCAGGCCGAGCATTCCGACGCCAAGCGCCTCATCGAAATTTACCTCAGCAGCCTTTCTGGGACAGGCTGTGTGGAAAGGTTTATCGGCGAGAAAAGGGCCTTGCTGATGAACCGTGGTACATTGCACGTGCGTTCTATTGAGGCATCGCTGAAATTGGTGGTCCAGGATCTCAAGGGCAGGCGGCGAACTGCTCTGGATCCGCGGGAATTGCTTTGCAAGCCAACTGCTGCCCGAGCCTCCGGGGGAGGGGCGCCAGTGCTATTTCCTGCCACACAATTTCTGTGCACTGCGCAGCGGACTTATGCAACATGGTTTGGAGAAAAAGCGAGCCAGGTTCGCGATGTCCGCCCGGCGTCGTTCTCATCTCAGGCTCTGGCTCGAGCAAAGGCTGCCAAGCCACGGTTGGAGAAGCCGCGCCAAAAAAGCAAATGCTCAGAGGCTGCATTCATTGAGTCGCACTCTGAAGCTTGCAAGGCTGCGGTTGCTGCCTTGGAAACCATTACATCTGAAGCAGAGGGCGTGCTGGGCAACAAAGTTACCAACCCAAACGCCAAGGCTGCCACAAAGAAGCGGCTGATGAGTGAAGCTGCCGATGAGACGTGGCAGTTACAAAAAGACAAGAGGGAAAGACAAAGCGCACCTGAGGCTGGCTGTGCGCCAGCTGCTGCCGCGAAGGCTGCTGTCGCAAAGGCTTCTGCCGCGAAGGCTGCTGCCGCGCCGAGCAGTCGTTTCTACATCTGCAGTTGGCAATGGCATTGGTTGTAATTCCAAGGTAGTAAGTCAGAGAGTACTATAATGAGTTTAAGCCAAAGGGTATACTTCGCTATAGGCACGGCCGTGGAAGAGCAGATGGACATCGATTGGAGTGTCAGCGACCAAGCCATTCAGCAGCAGGAGAAGGTGACTGCCGCGCGGAGGGAAGCACAGCTGGCTTCTGCAGCAGGCAAGCCAACTGCGTTCGTGGATAGCAAGGGGGGCTTGATGCGGGCCAGGCCTTTGCACCCACCGAGGGCGCAGGCAGCGCCTCCCCTGCCCCCATCATTCAAATTGCATTCGATGTCTGACGAGGTCCTGGCTGCAG